TATATATATATATATATATATACATATATAGCTAGCTTAAGACGATATAAATATGCCTGGGTTACACAATAACGTTGTAGTATTCAAGGCTAACATTATTAACTGCTGCCAACAAATAATTAATGTAATTCTACTATAGAATGAACAAGTAAATTGATCTGCAGTTTTCTCTCTATTTAAAGACCACTTGTATTTATTTTAATGACTTAGTATTTGTTTGTAACCATTGCGATAGCAAGTAATAAATAATAGGTAGATTGATCTGGGTAGTAGCATCCAGGGGTGGCGGGATTTGGTGGCCGGTGTTTGCCTTTATCGGGGAGATTTTTCCCGGCCTCCAACAGTCAGGGAGAAAACTACAATTTGTATTTATTTTTCACCTTTGTTAAAAATAAAAATCTAATAAGCATTTCAAATTCCCAAGCTGTAGCTTCCAGTAGCTTCACACTGGACGCCCTCCGATTCTGAGCGACGCCTTAAAACTGCCTCATCTCCACGCGGGGGCGACGCCAGGAATTTCCCGAAGAGGGGTCCAGCTCCCCAGCAAGGTTCCCACTTTTGATCATGGTATTCTTTTGTAATTTGATAGAAAACCATACAAGTTAAAAGGCCCTGCCTGATGAAGAAGATCTGGCGCTACTACCGTAACCCATACGATTGCGATAGTATATCACCTGTCTCCATGTCGGGGACATTTTGGCTTCTCCCTCTGGCAAATCCTTTCGCCACCACTGGTCCTTTGTGAAGCACATACGACTGAGTAATGTTTAACACGGTTGTAGGCTACTTACACACTCTAAAGAGCAAGTCCCATGATTATGTGTGTGTTTTGTACGTTTTAGTTCGAAGCATTTTTTGGAGGTTGTAATTTTTGAACATCAGGTTAGCCGTCGTCTTTAAGACATTCTGGAAAGCGTAAACAAATTCGTCGATTTCTGGATGAATCTTTGGAGAATTCTTGTCCAAGATTCCGAGACGTTTGTCAAAGAAAACCGTGCAGGCAGCTGAAATGAACATTGCAAAAATATGTAGAATATATTTATGTACATTTCACGGCAAAGCTTTTACTAGACACTTTATAATTATCATTCAGCAAAGGCTTTGTTTTAGAAGTCCGGGTGTTGCAGGCATGCATTAGTAAACGGTAATTTATCTATTCTGGTAATTCTCACATTTTATCGAAAGCTTAAATCTACGTTCATTTAAAGGTATACTCTCTCATCGGCGTATTTAGAAGTTTTGAAATGTACGGGGGTGGAGCTGACGAGGCTTGAAGATGTAGGGAGAACGTTCGATGACTAAGTGAGGGGCAGCTAGATTGCAAAAAAAATGTTATATCAAGTGATATTTACCTAATAATTCTGATTTAACTTTATATCTATTTACTAAAACTATTTTCAACAGTGAAAAATAAAGTATTTCTCTAATGAGGGTTCACTTAAAGTACTGTTTCAAATTCGTTATACCTGTTAAAGAGTCTACACCAACTGTGCACCTTTAGCACATATGAATTTTTGGCTTTTTTTGTATTTTTTTTTTCTTTTGTGGGGAAGGAAGGAGGGTTGCAAACGTGCTCGCGACCCAATGCAAATGTTTTGCGACAAACGTTTTGGTCGAGAGGCATAGATGAGAAGCGTGACTTTAGCTGATCGGGAAATGTTTCGTATTCAAATTTTTAATTGCAATTTAGTAATTTTTTTTTCTTTTTTTGTCATTATGATCGTGCATAATATGTACATTCAAAAGCCCATCTGAAGAGCTCCTCTTCCAAATTCGGCATGATGTTTTTGTTCGGACCTTCCTTTGGGCGAAGAGTTTTCATCCTCACCAATACGTCTACTGCTACACCATTCATCGCATCTAAAAATCTTCCGATTTCTGGTGGGCGCAGCAAGCGTCTACTCATAGCGGATCGACTTTTGTGCCACTTTTCACCATTCCTAAAAATAATTTTAAAAAAATTCTTATAACCTCGGGAAACACATGGCATTAATTGAATGTTTAAAATGTATTGGGAAAACTGAGAAGGACATGTGCCCATATGCAACCATCAATTGGATTTATCCCCACTATTTGTTTGCACTTTGTGCCATTTTCACAGATTGTTGTAAACTTACTCTAGTAATATCCCCAGTGGTTTTTTATTATGTTTCCTATAATCTAACCAAGGTTCTATAGGAAATCTCATTGGATATTTATCTTCCGTCCTGCAAAACCTTTCTATAAGTTGCGGGTCACATAGGGTCACAGCATCTAATCCGAATGCATTGGTTCTCTGTATCTTGCCATATTTCTTAGCGTTTTCAACAATCACTTCGTGGTTTTTCTTAATATCTCGAAACATAACTGCTATCGATTGTGTGATCTTGTTGACTGGCGTAGGCAACCATGGTATGATTCCGGGCCCGGGTAGAGTGTCAATAGACTTGAGCCTATTCACATAATTAGTAGTCTGAGCAGACTGAGCGCCAGTAACATTAGATGCGCATCTTGAGCTCGATACCATCGGTACAAATTTCAAAAACGGCGATGGAAAACTACTAAGTCTGCATAACGACGCCATCTTTCAGAATATTGTTACCGTATTAGTTTAATAATAAATTTGTGCAATTACCTCTTAATCTATGACGTAAATGTTATCATCTATCATTTATTAGGTCGGTTCATAGTTGTATTTGAACAGTGAGCTGTTGGCATGGATGTGCAGTGATCCCTTTATATGTCTATTGACATATAAGGTGCGTTCGGGTGAGACTGGGAAAATTTACATAGTGTATTGTACTAATAATTGTTCACGCTCACCTAGGAAAGATTCGACCATGCAACTGAGGAAATGTAAGAAGGAACGATAAAATTCATGAAATGAGATATTGCTAAAGTAAGAATACTGTATTTCAAATGTAATAATGATAGCCTAATAATATAATTATAAAGTATAAAATCTAAAAAAAATAACCCACTCGTGCTGTAGAGTTCGTCCAAACAACAGAGAAAATTTATGATAGAGAATAGTAATTTAATAATGAAATAAAAATCTTCCAAATGCAATAAAAATATTTTACTTAAGATTATAATCTGAACTAAAAAATAAAAAAAAAATAATAGAAATAACTAAGTAATAGATAGATAAATAAAAACATACACATAACCTAAGGTATTATGCAAATTATGAGTTTCTATCAAGTCTGGACCCTTGCGTCGTCCCACGCTTTACTTAAATAACGGACATTAAAGGCCAACTCAGACAGCATCGGCCGACGCAGCCCGATCCGATTTATCGTCGGGGACAGTCTTAAGCCATCGTGAGAAAAACATGTTTAATATTCTACGACGTGACTGCCCCCGACACACACCATCGCGTCTGCGTCTAACTCACACAGAACCGACGCGACAACAAATCGCGTCGGGCTGCGTCATACGACGTTGTCTGAGTTGGCCTTCAGTCTACTGCGTAATGTTGTTGTTTCAGTAATGAAACAACAGAAGAAGCTAAAACATTAAGATTCATAAGGTATAATACATTGCAAATCCCAATTAATTGCAGATGTGCATTTTGGGTTACCACCCATGATTAAACTTTCGTATGAATATGGTAGTTTTAAAATAGAAAATTACTACAATTGTTAAACGAAAAAGAATATGTGTGGCACGATTACGTATGCAGCGGCGGACGTATGCAACAAGGTAACAATCTGGATTTAGGTATAACGCATAGTTGAAATAAATAATTTACCGATCTTTTCAGTTTTGTTTTTTGGAAGTAAAGTGCAAAATAAGCAGAGACCATGAAATTGTAAATATAATTTACTTCTGACATGTTTTGAAAAAAAAAAAAAAAAAAAATTGAAGAGCATTTAAAGAAAAGGATTAAGTGAAAAAGAATGCTTCCTTCTGCAAAGCATGCTGCTTTTGCTTCTCCTAAACACTGCAATTTACAGCGAATATAAGCAGGCGGTCCGCGTTTAACACCCATGGTCACTCACTCATCCCCTGTTATTCTAGTGCAAAATGACATGATGTTGGATGCTAATGTTAACATGATGGTTTCATACTTCGTTTGTCGTGACGTCTAAAGTAATGCATCTGTAAATGTCTTGATCTACATAGTAAAGGCATATTGCACTTATGTACATACTTTTGTCGAACACTGTATACATTTATGGAACTTTGGTCTTTCAGAAAGATATTGCAACAATTGAATCTATTCAGAAAAGGGCAGTAAGATGATCCTAAGGATCCCTTTACCGTTATAGTATGGAAAACGACTCTTATCCAGTGGATCACACCGTCAGATCTGAAGGTTGGAGGGGTCCTTGGGAAAAACAAGGAAAACAAAAATACTAATTATATGTTTACTAACATATATACATCATCTTATATTTATCCAAATAGGTTCGTACAACATTAGGTACACAACAACTGAATTCTTCAATCAAGATTATTTCATTAAGAGCATAATAGTTAGATTTAGTGTTCTCTGAACTCCACCACCTGTCAAACAAGATTTGTTTTTCACGTAAGAATTCCACTTTCCTTATCCAACTTCGTATACTCTTGAAACTTGTCTACACGCTTCGGTTTCAAGCTAGTAACTTTTCAATAACATAGCTTTAACCTTCTTGTAATCGGCACTATCATTAACAGAATGCTAGATATTTCCTAACCTTTGTAACAATATTGACCAGTGTTAAGTTGGCCACTATATGTTTCAGCTACCTTTTCCATCTGTTGGAAATACATATCGACATCCTCCTCCTAAAACGGAGGAACCAAAAGAAAAACTAAACTGGAGTGAAACTGACTTGGTGTGACGGTATTTGATATGTCTCGGTCTCTGCAAATCCAACTCCTTCATTTTGTACTGCAGCATTTAATTTATCATTTTATTTAGTTTTCCTCTTCTTGCTCCAGCCTCATTTTCTTATTTCTGCAGATGCACCAGGGAGTACCTTATGTATGTATGTCATGAATTTCTGAATTTTGTATGTTATTCCTTCTCCAATAGTTTTAAAGTCTCTTGCAAATCAATTATGTAAGTTAATATAGCAGTCTGAAGCACGAAGCAATGTATCCTGTAACTTGAGGCCTGACGAGCCTCCACTTACCCTATGTTAAATTCACGACTCGGCACGAAAAAAAAAAAAAAAAAAAACACTATCTGGAGCTTTCAATACTTTTTTTTAGTTTTAGTTTTTATTTGGAATCAGTTTTATTACAGTAGCACACATCCAAATTGATGGTGCATCCAAACAACCAAAATCAACAGAATATTTGAAAGAATTTACTGGTCAACTATTTACACATCGGCTATAAAAGCCTACATCCACATAGTACATGAGTAACAACCATTAAAGCTCAGGGCTACTTGCACAAACAATTGGACATCACGTTCATTCACTTAGCTCACCAATTCGTTGCTGCTGCTGTGCTCTACCCTACACTGCTCCCTCATTGACATAATATTAACATAGCTGCTCCTGTTTACTGCTAATGTTGACATCATCACTCATTTATACAGTATATAGGCCTAGCAAGATTAGTGGTAATAACAAGGCAGGCGAGCTTATGAGAGCATAACAAGAGAATTATACTGAAGTCTCAATACGCTTAAAAAGATAGGTAATAAAAATTATGGTTTAAAAATAGATGTACTGTACTGCATGCTGATTATTTATTCTTAATTAAGGATTTCTTTGAAATCCAGACATCAATTCCTGTAGTAGACCTCTTTGTTCTAAGCAATTTTTCATTAAAATATTACTCACACCAACACATTATCGTTGCTCAATATTCACAAAACACCATTTTATAAAATAAGGTGTATTCGCTAATATTTGTTGTATGTTTTAAGCCCTATAACAAACGTTATTATAGAAAAAAAAAAGCATTAACATCACTATTTTCGTTACAGTGTTCACTGGAGGGAAGAGTTTCATCTGTGTCCAAAAAACACCATGGCCTTAATACGTCTATAAATAAGTGTTTAATTGGAGGGAACAGCTGATGTTCAAAGATAGGAATTCAAACAAGACCACAGAAAAGTGGTCTTTAATTAGAGGTAGTCTTTAATTGGAGAGGTTTTTTAATTTGAAAGAGACCTGTATACTAAAGTTAAAACTATTTACTGATGAGCTTTCTGTTGATATTCTTACTAAAGTATCTTGAATTTCTGACAAGCTGTGGTTATTTTTGTTTGCCTACATAAAAAAAATGACCAGACTCTTAAACCTGATTAATTTCTCTCAATTAGACGGAGATCCAAGGGCTGCTCGGGTACCACAATAAAGCGTGATGTAGGTTTAACTTTCTTGTTGATTTCAAGTCGAAAGTTTCTAATAATCTGGGAAAAAATGGCATAATATATTATTATCATGGGGATGTTCTTAGCTTTACAAAAACGGTAACCAATATACATGATCCCATCCTACAAAATTCTGTTTCACATGTAATATCGATTGCGAGCGCAATGTGCAGACGATACTACTATGATAAAAAATGAACATAACATTGTCATCAATTAAATGCGATATTGAGAAAGAATCATAATCAATAATAATGGTAATAATAGCGATGATGATGATGATGATGATGATAATGATGATAATGATAATAATAATAATAATAATGGTGATAATGATGATAATGATAATAATAATAATAATAATGATGATGATGATGAGGATGATGATGATGATGATCTAAAAAAGATATGTCCTTCTGAGCTTGGCTTTAAATTATGATTTGTGACTGCATAAAGAATAAGAATTGAACAGTTGGCTGAGCAATACTGTTTCAGCTTCTCTTGACCTGGTTCAATCATGGCAAGTATTGGGAAATTTTAATTTTTTAAATTATTTGTTTCCCTTTTCAAAATTAAGGAAAAGAAATGTTTTACTCGCTTTTTAAATACAGACTAATGCCATAACAGCCTTTACTAGGTGTCACTTGTTAATTGACAGAGTTTGATTCAAATCTGCCTAACCGTTTGCCTTTAGTATCTATATTTGAAATGTTGCTAGGAAAGAATAAAATGATCCCTTAATGACTTTTGACGCGAAAAACCTCCGGAATTATGCCAATGCATACGTCCAATGGACAAGTCTGTACTATGTTATTTGTGACATTTACCGGTATAGAATTTTGGGGTTTTAAACACTAATGACCACTGCGTGACCTTTAAACCTAATCAGTGAACACCCCAATTATTGGAGGTGTCACCAGTTATACCATAGAGAAAATAGAACTGTTCTATTTTCTAATAAGAGGGAGAACGGTGTAATTAACTGTTTCCTGAAAATATACAATTTGTAGCAATACACTCACCGATACAGCTACAGATGCCAAAACCAAATAGTAACATCAAGAAATTGTTCAGTTTCTCTCCTTTCACTCGTGATAGCCATCGTTCCGGATTGAAACCGTAAGGGTCTTCAAAGTATTCTGAGCTACGGCTGATCGAATACCTATACAGAAGAATAAACACCTGGAAATTCAAAATCGTCTAATCCGGAAAACAAACTTGGTGAACTGAACAAGGCATCGCAACTGTATCTTAACACCAGGGCCACATGAATGGATGGGTGAATGAATGAATGAACGATTGAACAATGGAAATGAACGATTTAATTAATGAACAAACAATTGGATGAACGAATGACTTATACTTAACGCACGAACTGAACGTACGAACACATGAATGGACGGACGGACGGACGGATGAATGAATGAATGAATTAAATAATTAATGAAGATAACAAATGGATGAGCGAATGAATAACAAAAGGAACGTACAAACACATAGATGAACGCAAGAGCGGGCGGGCGGATGGATGGATGAATAAATTACAGACAAGAACGAATGGATGAATGAATAAATGAATGAACGATTGAATAACCAAACTGAGCGATCAAACACATGCATGCATGCATGAATAAATGAATGAATACATTAACGAACGAATGAATGGACGAATGAATAATCGATTGAATAGATGGATGAGAACGAATAATTAAAATGAAAAGGAGGAATAAATGAATTATTAAAGTAATGAATGAAAGATTAAATAATGACTAAATAAATGAAAGAATGAATGAATGAATGAATGAATGAATGAATAATTGAATAAATGAATGAATAAATACATAAATGAATGATTGGTGGAAGGAATGAAGTCCTTTGCTATGATGATATGACTTTTAGAAGTTTAGACCTTCATTAGAAGGTATATTTTACTCAATCACTCATTGAGTAAAATTAAGGATGCCTACATAATATTGATTGCGTCATTTCACTTAATACCACTCGAACAATAAGTTCCAGTAATGCACGTTTGCATTTGACTTTTTATTTTATCGTACCGTACGCCGGGTGGTATTTTATATCCACCGATTTCGGTATCTTCGGTTACTTGTCTTCCTATTCATGTTGCGAGTATCAGGCCCGAGATTTATCAATCTCAGCTTAGCAAATGTCTTAAGTCAAAAAAATTTAGAAGTCCCTATTTGCAAATATCTAAAGCTGATTTATCAAACCATCTTAGCAAGACCTTAACTTAAAATCGTCTTAGATGGTTTATGCATACAATCGACTTTTTAATTTTAAGACATTTTTAAGTTAAGGCAATAGTGATAAATTTGACTTAAGCAAAAAAATTTACTTAAGATGAACTTAAGCTGATTTCTAGTTTGATAAATCTAGCCCCAGGTGACTAACGTTCTCGCTCAAGAAAATGATTATAAACCTCACTGTACAGCACAGTCTTGATGATGATGATGACGATGACGATGACGATGACGACGACGATGACGAGGAAAATGACGATGATGATGATGATGATGATGACGATGACGATGACGACGATGATGACGATGATGATAATGAGTATGATGATGATGACGACGATAATGATGATGAAGAGATGACAAGAATGATGACGACGATTATGAAAATATTACTGACATGATTTTACTACTGTGGTCCACTTTACCACCAATGATTATATTATTGAAAACAATGGCATAACAATGTGAAAAATACATTACCAATGACAGTAATGTATGCATCTCTTGTTCAGACAGCCTTCGACCTGTATGTAATAATAATGATGATGATGACGGCGATGATGATGATGATTATGATGATGATGATAATGATAATAAGTCATGACCAAATAATGAAATAAATTGAACTTAAAGTAAATTTAAAAACCTTTGGGTTTCTGGAATAACCGCTCTCAAATATTTTGTTTCATTAAAGTGATCTTTGGTTGGAGCAACACCTTCTGGAATCACACGCGTAACCTCTTCGTATAAACGTTCTTGACATTCAGGATTTCTTAAAATGCAATACAAAGCCCATAAAACTGAGTAAGATGTCTAACCATGGAGGTATTATTGAGAAGGAGATCACTCGGCAACAGTTCCCTTTGACGCGACAAACCCATGTGTTCCCCGCTTTTGCATCGCGCGCGGGCATATTACCCTATAATTCACACTTTTTTGTTAGCAACAACTTGGCAACGACATGCAATTATACGCTTTCAGCAGAGCAGTTGTGCAATAAAGCGTTTGATTTTAACCCATTAAATATCTTTATAATGAACAGTGTTCCCCTGATTAGATTTTTTCGGACTTTTGGTATGTTATTATTTGTATATTTCAGGAACGGATTCCTCAAAATATTTACGTTAAAATTTATGGAAATTGAAGTTGAAATATACTATACTTTTAAAGGTCATGTAAATGTTCCATTAAATTCGAAACATTTTTTGGTGGAAAATATTAATATGTTTGATATTTTATGAGAGATAAATGTATCAGCTTCCAAATGGAAGCGATTGCGCAGCCATAGTGATTGACTGTATGTAGTGCGCATTGAGAAAAGAAGGTGCTCTCCATTTCGCCATGTTCAATTTTTTGGTAAACTATGCCTGCTGAAAATTTGATGGCGGGGAACACATGGGACTTCAAAGGCATCGCGCAAACGTTCTTTACGCGCTGCGGCAACTTTGATCTTGGTTCATTTGCATAGCGAGCCATACATTTAAATCCTTTTTTTTCCCACCGTGGAGCTTTGCCCGTGTAGTCCAGTCATGCGCAGTACATACACTTTTTCGAATCGTCGATCCGGAAGTATGCGGCGCTGATAGAGATGTTGTTAAAATACAGATATACAGATACATACATGCAGATATATTTATATATATGTACTGTATTTATTTATATATCTATTTATATTTATATATATATTATTTCTGTCTCTTATACACATCTAGATGTGTATAAGAGACAGCGAGCCAACTTACGATGGCCGTGACGACGAATGGGAAAAT